TTGATAGTCCTGTTAATATACATCTTTTACCATCTGATTATATCTTGCAGACTAAACGTGAGATTTAATATGCAATCATGTGTTCATTCTTTTTTGTTTTTTTTTTTTTTGCCTGACCGACCGTCCCACCTTCACGAGAGGGAGGGCGATGGGAAACGAAACATTTTATGGGGATGGCCTAATACAGGCATACATATAGAGATAAATCTCACTTACGTAAACTTAGGTTTGTTATTACTTTTTCTGTGTAACCCGTACTCAGTTCATGGGCCATTTTTTACGGTTTTGCGGCTCGTTGTTTGACTGGTGTCGTTTTCCTACATAATGCGAAGCAAAGCAGGTTACTGTGTGCAGTCTCGACTCACAAATCTCTTCCTCATCAAAGAATTGGTTTACCATGAAAGCGCCCAATCATTGGGGTCATCCCAGGTGTAATATGATTTATTCGTTTTCTTTGTTTTACGGACCATTGTCAGGATCAACTTCTTTTGTTAAGGATATTTTGTTTTCTTTGGTTTACGTCAGCTGTGAGTAGTAAATTATATTGCACCGGAGATGAGCCCTGCATTGGTACGTGTAATCAAATGGTGATGAGTGAAATTAGGGAATAATTTCACGCGCGTTTTGAAAGGCTCGGGAAATTAGCAGGTACCAAAACGCAAGTGAAATTATTCCCTAATTTCACGAGTATACCATTTGATTGCCTATTAATATCATGGGTGACGAATTACGTTGGGAATCTTAGATTTTTGACATGTTTATCCTGGATTGTATCGATCGAGAACTCCACTCTCTCAAATGTTTAGACTTTAAATGTGGCTTATAAATTCAGAATTTTTCAGACGTTTTCGGCAAAATACATGTTGGAATCCTTCTTGATGTTCTCTAAAGCGTCTTTTTGTGCCCTGACACATTCACGGCATTTTAAAACTTCGTCGCCATCTTGACACTGAGACGTACGGTAGCGTTGCTATGGTAATTTTGTAATTTCGCATGTGAAATTACAAATTAACGCTGAAATTTCGCGCCGAAATTAATGAATAATTCGTCACCTATGATATTAGGGAGCTTTAGCAACGACGACGGTGAAGGCAAAGAGGACGTCAAAAAAGCAATAGGTTTATTACGCAAAACAACAACTCTGCACGTGCATCACGCTTTTTTGTACATTTCTTTACCGTCCTTGCACGACTACGACGTGAAAATGCTTAATTGCAAGTTTTATGGAGGACGTAAACAAGCGACGACGAATCTCTTTTTCTCTCTCTAGACTTCAGTGCGGTCCTCAAGAAATCAACTCCAGGGAAATTCGCCTACACTTGCCATTTTCAGCAAATTGGAATAAACGCGACAAAAATTGAAAAAACGGGAATTCATTTTAAAACTGACGTTTTCGCTGCAGTTGCCGTCGTCGATGCTAAAGTAGTGAACATACGCAACAGGACGGGAGAGGAAAGAAGACGGCAAACCTTGTGTGACAAGATCTTAAACAGATCGTTTTGTAAAAGACCAGAAAACATTGATGTTAGTCAAGATCACGACAAAATACGCAAGTTATAGCCTTGTCACATTCGTCACGCACAAGCGATTTGCCGTCCTCTTCTTTCTGCGGTCCTGTGACGTAAAGTCACTAGTTATGTAGGAAAACAACACCGAACAAAACGACGAGCCGGAAAACTGTATGGAATGGCCATGAATCGAGGTTACACAGAAAAGGGAACAACAAACCCAAGTTTACGTAAGTGAAAATAATTCTATATTTATGCCTATATTTCTACGTTTTAACAACGATATTAAATTGCCATACAAAGTCATATAAACCGTTCGTAATATGCAAAACAGTATCGAAACACGCGGTAATTTATGCACCGAGGCTGGGCCACCTGTGGAGATTCTTACGAAATACTGACAAGGAGGAAGACTCCCTGATTTTAGAGGTAAATCATCCCACAAGCGACAAATACGGATAAGTTTCTGTCCTACTTAAAGGGACATCTAGCGTCAGACGATCAACGTTCCTCTGCGGCTTGATACAAGTGCGAAAAGACACAGAATTCATACAATTTAAATCACACATATTCATATAACACTTTAAAAAAAAAATAAAGGGATCATTAATTTCTCTATGATACTGTAATGATTATACATTTTATTTAGTAAGGCGCTCCTGCTCAGAATAATCTTTAACAAGGATAAATCTCGTCGCCCTGCGTTGCACCTATTCTAAACTGGTCTTTTAGTATGAGGCGACTATACCACGCTAGCGTATTCAAAGCGCGATCGATCCAACGTCCTAACATAACTAACATAACTTTTTTATTTATATAGCGCAAAATACATGGGTATATGATCCAATCTGCTTTGCATTACAGTGCTTATAATATTACAATAGATAAAAAAATTACAGCTTTGCTAAATAGTTAATAAACAGTGGATACTAGATAAAAATATTATATATACATATCCATGCAAAAATCTGTTAAACTACTATAGGTTATAAGCTAAAAGCTAATTTAAAATAATGAGTTTTTAGCCGTGCATAAAAGGTTTGAGACTTCCCAAAGATCTCAACTCTTCTGGAAGGGCGTTCAACAGGGTCGGCTCGGCTGCAAAGAACGCCCTGTCTCCTGTTGTCTTCTTGGTCTTGTTGGGCAAATCGAGCAGTAAGTGTTTTGTATTTGATCGCAGGTTATAAATAAACTCTGGCTTAACAGAACATAACTTTATTATTTATATAGCGCACGTCCTACTGCCTTCGGTCACTCGATATTTATGGCTTGAGCAAATATGATTTAGATCATTATGTTTAGTCGGACTCTCTATGTTACTGGCTGTAGTTACGCATTTGTATGCCGGACAACACCGAGGATTGAGCTGTTTTCTCTTTAATAAAAAAAAGCCCACCTAGACTATTTAAGGTGGCTCGACTGTATCCTTTACGGGGGATACCTCCCGAGTTTGAGCATTAACTACGTCGGCATGAGTAGAGATATGGGAAAAACGTTACCACAACTGTATTGTATAAAGATGAAAAGTTCTTATGATCTGGATTTTAATGCATTGGAGTCACCATGGCAACGTAATGACGCCATTACGTTTTTTATTTATCTTTGTGTTTCTCTGTACCAGGAGGTTTTTTTTATATTGTTATAATTGAGGCAATTATGGCAGGTACCTACTCCCTTAATTAAGGGAGTAGGTATCTACCATAATTGCCTCAATTATAGCAAAGTTTGAACAAATTCTATGGAAGCGTTTTGGAAGTATTTTGAAACGAAGTTTTAAGAGTCATAAAAACAGTAAAATAGCATGCTATCCACACAATTAGCTAATATTTTAAGAAAATGATAAGCTTTGGAAACGCCGCTTTATGTCATAGAGGTTTGATTCTGTTGAAAACTGGGTACAAAAAAAGAGGGCAATTGGTCTGGGCGACTGCGGGTAAGAAGAGTTTTATTAGTCTGCATTCAGCTCCTTTTGTTACAGTTTTTGCACGTAATTTGGTCCATGCCTACAAATTTCGCATTATTCAAAATTGGTTATATTTGAGGCCTATTTAAAAGCCTTCCCTGTTTTCAGTGTTATTGAAACTTGCAGGGTATAGTTATTGACACTTGATCTCGTGATTGTCAAGTTTATAAAAAAATTTATCGAGCGATTTTTTGAATAATGCGAAATTTGTAAAACTATAACAAAAGCAGCTGAATTCAGGTTAATAAAATTCTTCTTACTCGCGATCGCCTAGAGCAATTCCCCTCGATTTTTGTACGCAGTTTTCAATGGAATCAAACCTCTATGAGATGAAGCCGCGTTTCCAAAGCTCATCATTTTCTAAAAATATTAGCTAATTAGCTAACACACAACACACACAAAAAACAGGCTGACAAAAGGTAGGCTCCCATAGAGCCTGGGCTGCCTGTGGCGTAATCGCCATGTTGAATGCTATTTGCAGTCTCCCCAAACTTCCTCTTCCATAAGATCAGAGATAGCGGCTAATAGCGTTACGAACATGAACAAGAAATTTTCGCTCGTCCCTAAAATACGCCTGCAATTAATAATAATAATAATAAATAATTTTTAACCAGGAGACTCTCTCACCCGGGTGATTTTTAGAGAGGTCCTGAAAATATAAAATATAAAAAGATAAAAATGAACGTAAAACGATAAAAAGCCACAAAAAATTTCCTTCACTAAAAACCTAAATGATCACAAAGAACTATTAAAAAGATGATAAAATTAGCGCTAAAAAGTCACTCGATTTCTTAAAAGATATAAAATTGTTCAAAGTTTCACAACATTGAAAATAATTATAAAAAGACTCGAGGTTATTAGATTTCCTTAAGCATAGATCGAAACTGTTCCAGTCTTTAACAGCTTGATAATGGGTCCTTTCTTATCCCTAGTTTCTTCTTACGCGGGGCAGTCTCACGTTATCTCTGTGACGTGTATCGTAGCCGTGTACATCTTTATTTGCCAAAAGACCGATACTGTGGGCTGAGATCACATTATCATATTTATAAACGTAAAGGCAACGATGAAAAAGCCTGCGTTTCTCCAAGGTTAACCAACCAAGGGCTTCAAGCCCGTCGGTAGCAGATGAGTGAAAAGGGCGGTCTAATGTAGTTTTGTTAGCCTTATTCTGTAGTTCTAAATTGTTCATTAGAACAGCGTTGCCCTTATCCCCCCAAACAATATCGGCATAACCAAATAACGGGAGAGTGAGACTGTTAAAGAGAGGATTACGCCCACTACGTGGAAGCAAACACTTAATTCTCTTTAAAAGCCCTAAGCGTTGATTTACGTTCGTGAAAACATTATTCAATATGCTCCATCCAGGGAAAATTTGAGGACCAAGTTACACCCAAGTACTTAAAGTCAGTGTTAAAATGTACACGTTATAGAGCCACAATTGTTAGAGCGTGGCCTCAACGGACGCAACATTTTCATACATTCTACATTAAAGTAACATTTTCTATACATTCTACCATTATCTCTTGGCTCTACTCAAAGGTGATTAGATATTCTGGGTAACACTGCGTGTCGTGAAATATCACAAATATTTCAGGATCTACCGGTTTGTCAACTGTGGAGTCGTATAGCCTCCCGGTGCTATTTATTGGAGGGGGTGCTTTCATTTCTCTTTCACCTTGACAGTACCGTCCAAACAAGACTCTGGCGAGGTACATGTAGCGTTGTCCACCGAATGGGTCTGCGTAGCGCAAACTTTTACTTGCGTCTCTTGCAAAATAGACACCTTTCCCATAACGAGTTCCTATAACAAATACCAATATAATAATAAGAAAATAATAAAAAACAATAACATTTTTAGAATTAACAAATCAACAACAATTTTCCATGGTCTGTATTTCTACTGATCGACGATAGAAATGAAACTAAGTTGTTCAAAACTCAAGTGAAACTAAAAGCTGCAGGCGAGTGGTTTCTCTATGTTCGAGATCTATTTTTGCGGCCTTACTGCTTCTTAGAGGCGAAAGCCACAATGCTATCAAGTTGAGTAAGGGTAACAATAGAATCCGAGCCCACAACGAATTCTGCCGATTTCGATTCGATATTCGCCAATGTTAGCTGCTTTTTTGTTTCGGAACATCGTCGGTTGTTCAACGTTTGCCAAGGATAGTTTCGAATGGCCTCGAATGTTACTCGGAATTAGCACGTGATCACGTATGGAAAAATTGATGTTTTTCTTAAAACTGATCACGGACTTCTTTGCACTCCAGATGTACTGTATTGTTTCTTTGAACTCGTGAGTTACTCTTTTCAAAGAGAACATGGCAAATATATGAATTCTGGAAGAGTTAGCTGGCTTTGAATTCCAATACAAATCTTTGAATTTCCCGCCATCTTGCCCTGATTACCTATGACACAGCTATGAGACGGTGAACTAATTTCTAAATTATTATTTAATTTAGTATAAAGTCTGCAAATGTCAGACGTCATCCCTTATTTAACTAGGTGAAGCTATCAGTAAAGTAAGCCACATGCAGTCGTATTTTATTTCACTAAGACTTTAGGTGCAAGGATTGTCCTCCAATAAGGAACCAAACCATTGAACTCTGAATTGATCACTATTACAATCACGATCATGTGTTCACTCATGATTCATACAGGTAGTTCAATAGACAGTGAGTCAATCCTGCAATAAACAGTCAACTGGCCGTCGTAGGGGTGGTTGCCAACCCCCCTCTAAGGTTTTTCCTAGTTTTTCCTAGAGGATTAAACATCAACACCTGAAGTTTTTCGTAGCTGTTCGTTTATCCCTCGCGCCCCGGAGTAGTCAATCGGTAAAAATCGGTATCGGTTTATCAATCGATAAATCAATAAAAATCGGTAAATCTGATTTGATTGGTATCGATTGTATAGATCAATCTGTAGAAATCTGTGACACACTCGTTTCTTTTGTCGATTTTCTTGATCTTTTACCGATTTCATCGATTTATATCGGAAGATATATCTATCTGTTCATCCAAAAATGAAAACTGATTTCATGCAAACAGTAAATTTGTCGACAATTGAGTTGCAATTGAGAGTCGAAGAATCAAACAATTATATCCTTTTTAGAAAATCTTTTTAAAAAATCTGAAAAATCTTATCTTTTCTTCAAAACCAAGTTTAAAATCTTTTTCTGGTTTGTAGGCGCCCAGTTTTTCACGATTTAGACCTGCCACCCTTTCAAAATAACGTCGGTGTAGTTCCGGGTGTGGTTACATTGCGGAGTAGTCAATGGATAAAAATCGATAGCAATCAAGTGATTTTATCGATTGATAAAGGAAACGGTGAGAACCGATCTAGGAAAATCTACGAATGAATTTCAGACATCCCTTCTACTCGAGAGGATGTATGAAGGAATTTAGGCTAGGAAATCTTTACTAAGGTTGTATTTCTCGTGATACTTGCCTGCGAGAACTGAATGTAATTATAAATAAACCAAACCATTTTTGTCATTATGTACAAAAAAGAGTTTTACAGAGAAACTTGTGTGTGCAATAGTTTCCACATTTCTCATTTTCATGTTTATTGATCAGTTGTTGCTCGTGGACGTGTTTTCTCAACTGTACTATGTAACTTATGCCAAAAAACAATATTGGTGGACTTCCGTTATAAGTCGTTAAAATCATGAAAAATCGATAATATCGATTTGACACAGCAATTTTGTTTATCGATTTTCACCGATTTCCGTTATCAATCGATAAAAATCGCTTGATTGATACCGATTTTTATCGATTGACTACTCCGGGCTCGCGCACATTTTGAGACAAGGTTTCTATAGTAACGAGATAAGACGTCAAAAGTAGTAGCCATAGGTGGTCAAGCCATTTTTAAGTGAAAATACATGTTTTTTCAACTTCTTTCACCAATGAAATTAAATCGTGTGGCTAAAATCATGCAGTGCTTATTTATGTGTTATTTTCCATTTAAAGCACAAAAAAATTACCATTTCTGGCGGTTTTAACCTGATTTGTAATTCTTGGTAAAATCCAAGAAAGCGGCCAAGACGGCGACCATTGTTGGTGACGTCACGGGCCTCCAGCATCATTGAAACTCATTCATATCAACTCACCGTGTTCCCTATTTTGGTTTCTTTTGAATCCCTGAGAATTGATGAACTTGACGCGCTCAAATGTCGTGGCGTGGAAAAGTCGGCGCTCGTTTTTCCCACCATTGTTTTTATCCACTTTCTCTTTTGTTAGAATGTAGGTTTGATATAGCCAGGGATTCTGAATACGTTCGATGCTGGTAATAGTAACTCCCTCAACGGTGGCGAAAAACATCTGAGACACTTCTCCGAACTCAGGACAATTTTTCGGAAGTGAAACTAGATGTACATCTCGATTATAACGGGGCATTTGATCCCAGCGTTGAGGAAGGGGGATTCCTGTAAAAGATAATGAGGGAATTTAAGAAAAAGCATTCAAAATCTAGAAAAGGTTTGCTTTCTGCTTTTGTGTGATGAATTTATCAGTACAAAGACCTAATAATTTGAAATGTAAAGCGTATGCTCGAAGTGCAACGACTGATATAGACAGGTTAATAAAGGAGATACAGTCGAACCTTCATGTGTGACCGCCTCTCGTCAACGACCACCTCACATAAACGACCGCCAATCCAAAACACCAAAACTTTCTCAGTCAAAGCCTTACAGTTGGAACCTCTAGTAAACGACCACCTCCTGTAAGCGGCCGCTACCACTTTTTTGGCCCGAAAGTTGAATGATTTTTTATTGTTTTTAACCTCTTGTAAGCGACCACTTGACGCGTTCTCTGATCTCTATGTTCGCTGTGTGCATTATGCTACTTAGAATATACCAAAAACTTTAGCAACATGCAATAAATTATCTTCCGTAAAGAAGATGCGCTTGGACCTCTTCTCGGAAGAGCCCCCCTGTGGAACTCTTTGCAGTCTTTGCAGTTTGAGTCGCTTACGGGAGGTTCGACTGTATTCATAACTGGATAAAAGAGGAACGCATAATTCAAAGTGTTCACATGCACGTGTGGCACACAGACTGCGAACAAAATTTTCATTCAGAAGAATCAAATCTAGCCTGAATTTTCATCCGATTGCTTCGGGTCGTTTTCTCCTCTCAACAACGTCTGAATCGACCGGCCTTTAATGCCGTCCAATGAAGTCACTACTCTTTTGCTTCAATAGGCCATTTGCACGATGACGTCATTTGACTACTAAGACCAGTGAGAATCCTTCAGGTTTTTGCTTTCTTGTGCAAATTAGGGGTCTTGTTATTTAAACCTCGCTTGGATTACTAAATTTGAATTTGAAAGGAAAAACGAAATGGATTCTGGTCATAGTAGTAAAACGACGCCATCGTGCAAATGGCCTATTCTTGCAAAAGTAAAACACGATTTTCAAGTGGTAAAACAAGAAATATCGTTTGGAAATGTCTACATGATACAGAATTGCTTTTATTACTATTTTCGATCGTAGTTCATGTTTAACGTTCAAACTGTCAACTGCATGCAGTTCTCTGAACCAGTAGTAATTCAATAATCAACCTCGATCGCAATCACGCAATGAAATAAATACACACACGGAACACTTAGTTCAAAAACACAACGATTTGCCTTAATTGAAAAGAAGCTATTTGGTCCTTAACGAAGAAAAACGAAAACAAGGAAGCAAGAGAGAAAAGCTAACAGAATCATTACACTTGACGGTGGAAATGACAAGAAGGACGAATTATAACTTCAATGTCAGAACTAACTTCTCATAAACAAACCACTGCCGAAACCACAAAGCGGCTCTAAAGAAAAAATCTACCGACTCTCCGTAATGATTCTTCATTCGCAGTTCAATTTAGCATTTCAGTTTCGAAGACCTGGCCGGGCAATTTTGTTGTTCACGATAAAGATTATGGAAATGTTTGAACTCCACAGAAGCATACCACCAATGCGATCCACTGAACATCAAGCGACAATCCCGCTAAAATTTCTCATAACTATACATAATTATGCGAATGTTTTGACAATCAACCAATCAAAGTCACCACCCGGTTCTTGGGTAGTGACGTCACTGGAGGGCATTATTGGCCGGTCGATTCAGACGTTGCAGAGAGGAGAAAGAGACTCGAAGCAATCGTATGAAATTAAGGCTAAATCAAATCTTGTTTCAGTAATTTTTAATAATATGGAAGTTTTAGAAATTGCAACCAAACTTACTATGCGACTACTATAACCGGAGCTACCTACACAAAGTTGACAAATCGGATTACAGGTTAATAAGAATACATTTCGAGAAAGTTAGTTGTCAGTCATAACTACCCCGAAACGAAATAATCAACATGGATCGAAATCAACTAATTGCAACTTACAGACATCACCTTTTGAACTCCCTCTAAAGAAAGGACATGTTTCCCAAAGGGTCTGCCGTTAGAGTGGGTGACGGAGGCGAAAAATGTAAACGGTAGTTATATTTTTTTATTTGCGGTCGCATGTTACTGCAAAGCGCGGCAATAGGAGCGAAGAAATTG